AAAACCAGAGAACCAGGAGAAAAACCTTCAGAGCATGGACAACAGTCAACAACAAACTCAACCCACATATGAAAACAGACTTGGGAATCGAACCCAGGCCACGGTGTGGGGATGCAAGCATTCTCAGCATTGTGTTATCCCTACTCCCTTGATTAAACCAGATTATGTTGAAATACTCCATACCAATCCAGCACCACAGTTTCTTTGGAAACCTAACCATATACTTTTACTATAGCAAAGGTTGACTTCCTAAGAATAGATATTGCTCTCTGCTTGATAAGCTACACTGCTGTATCTTCAGTTTAAAAAGCATTTGGCAAATTACTTTTTTGATGAGACAGATAAACCACAACATAGAAAATTTTGATACAATGTAAAAGCAGCATGGGAAATGATGTCCAAGGATCGAAAAATTGAAAAAAGCCTGTAATTTATAGGGCAAAATGTTTGAAAGTTTTTATTTTAAACGAAAACTTTCAAACATTTTGCTTGCTTTTTTCCATTTATTATTTTATTTTTTTATTTTTTTTATCAAATTTGCATTCTGTAGTGGAGCTTTTCAATTTCTTCAATTCTCTTAACAGGTATTTGTAAAGACACAACAGTTATGCTAGTGATGGAACTTGCTCCCGAAGGTCCACTACACAAATATCTCAAAAAACACAAGTAAGCTTATTATAATAAACAGTTCTAGATTTAGATTACTTGTGCCTTACCTCAACCACTGGACTGAATGACCTCAGTCTGTCAGTTTAACCATTTAACTCCCATGAGTGACCAAGTAGACAAGTGATGAGAATAAAGAAAAAATATCAACTAGGGGATTATTAGTTGATCCAATCCTGAATTCTCACAACTAACTTCATAAGAATTGTGTGACAGGCAGTAAAGAGAATTTCTACTTAGATCTTGGAGTTGAAAAAGTTAGATAGTAAATTACGTACCCAGGAGTCGCTAGGCAAGAATGTAACAGCGACTGACCATTTTTGCAGGTCTTTGCCGATGTTCAAAATTTTTGTTATAATGTTGCAAGTTGCCGAGGTAAGTAAGTTCTAGAAGTGCTTTTCGATTGAGTGTCATGTAATCGCAACAGCCAATCAGATGACAAGAAGATATCATAATTAGCCAACGAGAGCTTATAAATACAAAAAAATGTCTGAAGTGCGAGTGAGAGATTCTTGTTTTAGTTTTACATGAACATGATCTACGACCAGTCAGACTCACGGCGACACTGAATAATTGTTGAATAGACAGCGAGAAGCGTAGCTAATCAAATTGAAGCATTTCTTACTTAAAGACTTAAATAGATTAGTAGTCTGAAGAGATATTAGTATATGCCACACAGGTTCATAGTGGGTAGGGTAGTAGGGTTTTCGCGCTCTGATTGGCTGGTTCAGAAGTGATTAGCAAGTATTATTATTCTTATCGATTTGACTTCTGTTCACAGGGAATGCAGTATCTCGAAAACATGCAGTTTGTGCACAGAGACCTCGCCGCTAGAAATATTTTAGTTGTTAATGAAGACTTCGTCAAGATCAGTGACTTTGGAATGTCTCGTGCTATGGGAGCGGGAAGTGATTATTATAAGGTTGGTGTCCCTACAGTGTAATAAAACAGAGATAGAGTGGTCATTGCAGTTAATCAGGGCGAAGAAAAAAATTTATGGAAAGAGCAAATGAAAACTCATAGTAAAAACAAGCAAACTGCCAGAAGCGTGAGAAAATGCGAGCGAGTCGCTAATGCTTTTGATTTTGTACATTGTACCTGGTTGGTTGAGAGTGTAGCGCGAGTTTTTTCTTATTCAATCAATGTGGAGAAAGAAAAACCAAAGCAACGACGGGTTACGTTTAAAGCGCTTTTCGATTGAGGGTCGCTAAACCAAAGCAATTGCAACAGCTTATCAGAAGAAAGGAAAATTTCCTGAAGAACCAAGAGAACTAAAAGTAAACCGCTCAAAGCGCGGGAAAACGCGGGCGGCCAAGTGGCGATTGGTGTTAATTTTGCAACTGATTGGTTTAGAGAGTGGCGCGAATTTTGTGGACCAATCACAGAGCAAAGTAAGGCAAAAGCAATGCAGTCCCGCACTACTTTTGATACTCAATCGAAAATTGCTCCATACGAAAGTTTCTTAGTGTACGTGGTAATATGTAATCTGTTCTCTAATATTGTGTAGGCTGGTAAACCGGGAAAATGGCCTCTAAAGTGGTATGCTCCAGAGTGCATTTACTACCGGAAGTTTAGCAGCAAAAGTGATGTGTGGAGTTACGGTGTCACGCTATGGGAGGCCACATCGTATGGGAAGAAACCATATGAGGTAAAGTAGCAAATTCACAGGTCACACAGGTTAGGTTACTTTCTTAACATCTGGTCACGCACTTGTGTGACGCAATTTTTTCAACTCAGTTTACTTTTCGTATGATCGTTAAGAGGAGGGCAGCCCTGAAAGTGGATTTGTCGCAGGTAGACGTAGTGCTTAGTAAATTTCCATGAGATCTACCTCTGTATTAGGCGCAAGAATAATCTCCTTCCGTGTGAAGGTCGTTATACTTTAGTTCGTGTTTTGACGTTAAAAATTTCTCTTTTCCCAGGGACTCAACGGACAGGTAATTTTGGAGAAGATAGAAGCTGGTTACAGACTACAATGTCCAGAAAATGTGCCACCAAACGTGTATGAAGTGATGAGAAGTTGTTGGGAGTACAGGTAGACTTTCTGAAAATTATTTAATGGTTCGCCTTCTAACCTTTTTTCCTTTTAGTATGTGCCTGCTATTGATGAACTTGACTGAGTTTTTCACGATGCACAAACTTTGACGAGCTATAGCTCCTCCAGATACGTTTGATGAGATAGGAGCACTTTTTAGTTGAGCGTCGAAAGTCATTAGGAATTTTATTTGTTTTGCTTCACTTTGCTCTGTGATTGGTCGACCAAACTCACGCCACCTTCTCAACCAATCGCAATTAAAAATGAAACAAATCACTACTTGGTCACCCGCGTTTTCGCGCGCTTCAGAGCGTTTGCTCTTTTTACGTGGAGTTGTTATTGGCTACCTGGATATTTTCCTTTGTCCTGATTGGCCGGTGTTACAAGCAAGTTGACTTTGTTTTTGTTGTCCTTACAGAGAGGAGAGAAGGCCAACGTTCCAGTCCCTGGCTCAACAGCTGGCCGACGCATTAATGGAATTGAAGAACACTGAAGAATACCAAACACAGTACCTGGTGTGATGAATCTTGCTGCATTTGAATTCTATGTGTTTTATTAAAATTGTTATTCTTGGCAATGCAGATAGATTCGAAATGATTATTGTTACTAACATGAAATTATAGAGACTTCTTTTTGATTGCGTAATGCTATGACAAATCCAGTCACTTTCTATGACGTTATTTTGAGTTATGAATCGCTTTCGTAAGGAATTTCAAGTGCAGTCATTTTAATTCATGTCGTGCTATGTCATGTAACCATGTCATGTTCTGTCAAGTAGTGTCAAAATCTTATAATTAGTCAATTATGGCTGCGACGGTTGATACACCATCTTGAATATTTTGTGGCATATCACTACTCAGCTGAGTACAATTATGAATATTTAGTTTATTTGCTTGATTGCGACTATGAGTTCTTTTTAAACAGATTCCTATCCATCCTAGTTTCGTATCGGTACAAATTACTTGTAGCTAGATAGGAAGAGAATTACATCAAGAATTGATCGCCATCTGGGGTGCTGCTCCGGCAAAATCTGTTTAACAGTGCTTTACTCCGTTCAGAGAATTTTGCCTTTTCACTACCACGGAGAAAATACTAGAAAACTTCTTTATTCTCATAACCTGTCTCTTTTCAAGGTTTTGAAAATCAATTGAGTGTCATTATTATTAGCTTTGTTTTACTTCGTTATGTTATTGGTCAAGGAAATTTGGTCGCCTGCGTGTTCCTGCGCTTCGGACCAGTTCGTTGGTTTCTCGTGATCTTTTCTTTGATCTGATTGGCTGTTGTAAACTTTTGGTTTGGTATTACGGCAGTCAGTCAAAATACACTGAATTGTGAGGATAAGTTACTTAATGCTCTCCTCTGGAAGTCAGTTTTGAAATGAGGTTTGCGGTTACCATGGCAGTGGTAGCCATGGTATTATAACCATACGTTGGCTTTATCACAACATAGAGTTTCTATATAAACTCAGTTTCTCTGCAAATACCTTTAGTATAATTATTTGTTATTTATGCAGCCTTTTCTGGCTGTAAACTTTTTTATTTTAAGGCTTGTAATTTGTTGACGTTTTTTTCTATGTTCTGAAGAGAAGGTTAAGGATGGCACTTTGTTTGAGTGGTTGAGGAAATTCTCGATTAATTAATACTGTATTTTTTTCAGTTGTATTTAAAATTTTTTTAGAGCGAATCAGTCATAAATTTGAAGGAATTTTGTAATGCCTGAAATTTTCCTGTGTGGAACATTGTAACCAGGAATATGCGTTATTTTCAAAGATTTAATAACTTTGTAGGCTGAGCTTATGAAACAAAAAAGAATAGACATCTTTGCTTGCTTGTGTTTCAGGTAAGCCTTGGACTATGATGTGTATCTTTATACGACTACTAGTTGGCTAAAAACGCAATTTATAATTATGAATTTTGTAAAATTTAATACATACATACGTTGATTTGTAGGCAGAAAACAATAAAATATCGATTACTTATAAAGGAAAGAGGTCTTCTTGGATATCAGGGGCTATCGTTGTCTCGTAGTGAAGTTAAGTGCAATTCCGAACTGGTTGATTTGTGTGGAATTCCTTTCCCAACAAATTTATGCAATATTTTTCCAAACTACAGTGTTATGGGGAAAGAGCTGAGATTGCGTTCCCGTTACCACGTTCATCGTTACGTTTATGACATGTATGATTGTATTCACTCTTTAAGTAGAATACATGAGGAGTCCCTCCTTATCGGCGAAGTAAGTCGTTAGGGGGGACTACTCGAAGTCTTGTCGTTGAGGAAAGTACCGTGTAGTACCGTAGGTCTTTTATTTTTAGCCACTTTCTTATTTACATTTACGCGGGGTGATAAAGATCCGGCTTGTGTTCAGACCAGTAACTAAGGATTTCTTTTGGTCGAGTTGACCCTTAACACACTCACATTGGTTGTCGTATCTCTTCATACTGTTCCCTTTAAATTTGCTATGAGTGGCAAGGAGAGTTTGTTTGAAAATCAGGAGCTTCTTAAATTGGTGATCACATCCCTTACTCTCATGACCTTTACATTTGATTTAAGGCTGACAGGGGTACAAGTTTCTGAATCTGTACAGGCACCCACATCGTACCATGTTATATCTGCTTGTGAATCTCCACTCATATGACGACCCCTACGGCCCCCCGCGCGCTTTACTTGAAAAGCATTGCATAAATTTTAAATCCCGCTTTACGCAGCAAGCAAGGTTGTAGAAAGCCGTGCGGCTTCGCAAGATGCGAGCTAAAAGAATAAGGAAGAAAAGAAAAGGGGCAGTCTTTAGAGAATATGCTGCGCTCGGTTCTGTTCATCACGAGTGACCTCGAGCCAAATATCCTCGTGTTCGGCCCTCCCACTCAGTCAATAAGTACAGCCTTCAAGTCAACCGAATTTCTTTGAGCTCTTTGAGTCTTTCGATAATTTCCACTAATGAATGAATTATTTTCCGAATAGACAAGCGAAAAAACAAGTTAACCACAAACGGCAGCTCTGCTGATCATGGAAACAGCTGCTGTTCCATTATTTGCACGCTCGCCTTTTTCGTTTGATTCCATTCCACCGTGAACACAATTTGAAAAGTTAGATCATTCTGCTGTGCTGTCTCCTCTTCAGTGAATAGAAGACCCCTTACCACTTCCGTTCCCACTCCTGTCACCACTACTTTTACTGCTATTACTACCTTGTTCATCAAGATCGCTCTCTCTCCTCGCTCGTGCCTTTTTGGAGTCATCTCCCATTTTATTTGAAGAGCTACCCGGCATATAGCAGTCTTCTGAACCCTCCTCGCTTTTCGATTTCTTTTCTTGCATGGCTATCAAACAAGAAAACAAAAACTCCTAAGATCTGATCGGCGATTCTCCCCTACCCTCCCCTCTTACTCCTACACATCTCCTTATAAATTGGTCGCGAGACTTTGGTGTTAGATTAAGTTAACAACTTCTACCTGATGAGTATGAGTATTCTCATTACCTGTCTGCTTGATAAAGTATGGATATTACAGGGAGAAGTTGCATGTTAATCACTTCTGAGAGTTTAACGGCTAAGGAACCTTTGGCATATCGGGACCTTTTTTTTTCTGGAGGACCATCATATAAAAAAAATGCAAACGAAACATCGAAGCATTTACCAAGCTTAGGACAAAAAAAAATTAATCATAACAGTTACTCGACAGTATAGAGAGGCCACTTAAATATTATCCGTTTCTGCGTTTCACGAATCCAGACTGCTAAGAAAATTTTTAAAAAACGTCATACGGACAACATCAAATCACTGATATGTTACAAAGATTTGTGATATTTATCTTTTGAAAATACAAATTTGTGGTTTCCTTTAAGTCCTAAGTAAAATAACATGGCGCAAAACAAAACAACAAAAACAATTATTAAAAAAGGTACCGTTAATAAAACTTCGCTTACTAGACCGAACCATTCTATATTCTAACACATCCCGACCTTGCACTGACCCATAGTTATCAAATGGATGCAGTTGGACTGACGCAAATGTCAAATTCAAGGCTCTGATATGTCAAAAGACAAAACGTCGACTCGATCGAATTTACATCTGAATGTAGATAAGCGATGAAGCCAGAGGCTTCTTCTCCGAATAAGATTCAAATTCATTCCTTCTTTGCCTAACATTTTATCGTTTTATCGCAGGTTTTCTTATGTTTTTCTTCCCTTATTTCTATCAAATTGGAGATACATGTACTTTAAATATTTCGGCTTTAAAAAATGTATGAATTATTAATTATACTCTTGGATACCTGTTACGAATGCTATTCAGCTGTAAACACAAAAGTGTTATTTGCATAAAGTGGTTGGCTGCCCAGATCTTAAGAAATCTTCGCACTATTTTACTTACCTAGCTTGTACTTTAAACACGCCACCAGCTTTTCGTAATAGTTGATGCTTTCTCGAATATTCCCCAGCAAATGATATATGTTTCCCAAACTCGCACAAGCTTTGCTCTCGCCGTCTAAATCTTTTAATTCTCTGGCGACGCTCAGACGTTTTTGATGACAATACACAGCTTGGTCAAAGTCACAGCGCTGCTCAAAAATATTTCCAAGGTTATTCAAGAGTTTTGCTTCACCGAGTCTATCTTCCAGCTCCTTTACAAGTCTTAAACCCTGTTCGTAACATTCAACAGCTTTATCCAAGTCACCAATCCTTCGATAAGTGCAACCCAGATTACAATATGCTCTCTTTTCGGCGCGTTTGTTTTGAATAGCTTTTGCTAAGTTAAGATGTCGTTCATGACAGCTTTTAGCCTCAGCAAATCTGTTTGCCTTGTAATAGAGTATTCCTAAGCTACTCAGAGCTTCTCCTTCATTAACTTTGTCTTTAGCTTTGCTGTATGCGCGGATCTTTCGCTCTAAATGTTTCACTTGTTCGTCAAGCGACCTGCTATGCTCTCCTTCGTTCATAGCATTGTGTCGTTTTTCGTTTCCAGCCGGTTTTTCTGCCATAATGAATGGAACTTCGTCATCTTTTGGTGGTTTAACGGGCCCCTCGATGTCTTCGGCTTTTTTCTCATTCATTTGTGAAGAATAAAGGGAACAATCTCAAACACCATGCAGGATTGAAATTAGCATCCATCAAAATTTACACCATCAAGCGCCTACTTCACTTAGATTACCCGTTGGCTCTCTTGTGGTTTTGGGCGCCTGGCCAAAATCTGTTAATTGACATTACGCCACTAATGTACAATATTTACTTTATTGTTGTGTTCTAAAACGACACAATTTTTTCACATATTTCAATAAACCGAATTTAGATCAATTTTGTTTTCAGCAAACTCCTTGAAGAAGTATGCGTAAGCTAGACTTAACTCTTTGAACTGTTGGTTTGTAATGCTGCTCACTAATTTCAGCTTTTTACCCCGCCACAAAAAATTCATTCAGTTCTGTTAAAAGAAGGGGGGAAGGAAGTCAGAGGGTACAGACACCGTTGCTACGAAAATTCACTCGCTATAACAATTTATTAAGTCATGAT